AATGTCCTTATTTGTGTTTTTAATTTGGTTGCTGGTATAGTCTTGAATTTTGTTTACCTTACAGCATGAATTCTTCTTGGGAGTTTGAGTATTCTGGGGATTTTTCGCAACAATTGGCGTATTTCTGTATGTTTTGTTACCGAATTCCATTTGCGTTGTCACGTTTTGGCCAGGAGAGGATGTTGTCAGCTTACAAGAGGGATTAATTTCCATCTTATGGCTATCCAGAAACATATCTAGATCCACGGTAGATGAAAGAGAGGTTAATTTAGGATTAAGATTATAGTTCACAAGTCTTTCGTTCGGTATCGTGTTCCGTGTAGCTAATTTTGTGAGATTTTAGAGGGGGAGACTATGAGTTCTACCTTGTTCGCCATGTGTTTACTATTTCAGTGACTTGAGGTGACCTGCCACTAGGTTTAGTGAGGTGAATGTAAGCACGCCTTCCAGTTACTGTCTTGTCTGCTACAACTTTTATTTGTTTGTAGGTTGTGTCCTGTAATACGTTGTGTGTTGGTGAATTTTTTAGCCTCTGTCAGAGTTTCAAACTGATGGCGTATAGGACAGCAGTGGTCGTGCTGGCTCTTCTTCAGTCTATGATATTTTCTTTGGGAGTTAGGCATTTTAGTCGCCCTAAGTAAGATGCTTTGAACCTTTTTCAACCCCTTTTAGTATCAAGTCTTTTGATAACCTCTGTTGTGAAGTTTGGTGGTGTTCACCTCAGTTACTGATTCTGTGTCAAGTTCGCAAGGGTTTATGGTCCTGGTCAGAATGTTCAGAGGTGCAAGTTCGCAGGCTTGTGATTCTATATCACTAATCTGTGTTGATAGTTCAGATATGTTGGCCTAATTTTCTACACATCCTGCATTCCTAGCCTTACTACACCTTATATCCCATATAATAATAATAATAATAATAATAATAATAATTTATTTTCATATAAACATAAATTTACATGAAAATGCATGCCATTTTTACAGGCACTTCAGCTCTCTTACAGACAGCTTTAGTCGTTCAATTTCTGAAGTAAGTGTTGAAGCTGGACTTGGTATCTGAATTTTTGTGACAGGTAGATATAGTGAAGTGAAGAGGTCCATGTCAGGAACAGGTTCTGAGTTTGTGGAAGCAATGCCACTACTATTTGTCAGCATATTTTTGCTGTCAGTTCCAGCCACAGTAGTTGGTGATGACACAGCACCTCGACGCCTGTGGCACAATCACAAGCCATGCGTCTCATTTCCATATTTTGTGGGAGTTGTGTTGCAAATTGCTGAGAGCGTATATGTGCTATCAGTCATCAGGTTAGCAGGTGGCTGAGTGCATGGTTTTTTACATGATTAACCATAACTAATTAGTGAAAGAGTTATTGGTTGCAATTATGGAACTGGAGAAACACTTATGCGAGTCACACGGCAAAAATTGAAGTGTATAGCGATCAGGCTAGAATGTAACGCAAACGTTGAACACAAAGAGTACATTATCCTCGTCGTGCTTAAACACAAACAGGGAAGAAGTATTCAACAATATGAATGGAATGTTTAGAAATAGTATGGGTGGTAGACAAATGGAGACCTTATTTACTAGGCCAATGATTCCACAGTGGGTATGATCAAAAGCCACTACAGTTCCCTTGTGGGATTTTGTCGCGATGTTGTATTTGAAGGGGTATTACTTAACGATGCCAAACATCCCTAACAGAGAAAATTTTGCACTAGACTTCTTATCTATACCCAAAGACGTGTCTGTGTCACCGCAGACTGCTCACGGGACAATACTCGTTAAGACTTGCTTGGAACCAGAAATTAGACCATTCTCTGTATACAGTAATGCATGTGGTCACTAACGGAAGTGTGTCAATCCATGACGAGTAAGGAGATAAACACTTTGCTGAGGCCAAAAGATAGATTGAGAGTGATGCTTATGCAACTCTGGCTTGGTCAAAGAAAGATAGAGGCTGACTAGCAGTAATCTCCCAATCCCTAGTTCTAACGGACAAGTTTATTAGGCATTCTTCCCGTGTCAACATTGGCAATGGTTACGCATTTAAATTAACATAAACTCCTGACCGAGGTCGCTTGGAGAGACAGTTACACCCTTCACACAGAATTCAAATGGACTGAGTGCTTCCTGAGGACCTCGTTGGATATGCTGCAAAGGATGACATTGAGAACTCCACAAATGAATCAACTACACCAGAATAATTACCCAGGCTGGCCTCAACAAATAATAATGTTGGTGCTTATTGTGTGCCGTTCATTCTGCTGGATATGCGCTTTAGCCATGCCACCCGTTGACTACTTAGTCGGACCTATTCAACCTGATAGCCAGGCTACTCTTAAAACCACCCAAACTAATGACGGAAGTACACAGTTGTTCAAGGATATATTTGTACAAAGACGACATAGGGATATAAAGCCTCACCACAATGAATCAACCGTGTCCCATTCCATGAAAATCCGGTTGCCAACAATGTGTTTCATTTATCATGGATAGACAAATTGACCACTGAAGGTTGAATGGCCGACTTTCACTTAAAGTGATGAACTTTGTTCCTCTACACAATCCGAGCTACACTAATACAGCGTCACGCAACAGCAGATCTACTTCTTACCATAATGGTACAACTGTAGAGGGCCGATAATGTCCCGAATTCAATGTCGTTATTGTGACTTCACCATAAATCATTAGTTTGCTCATTTTAACCTGTGGACATTGAGGACAGTGGGATTTTCAGGGAAGAGACCATGGTTGATGGTATGTGATGTTATTATTTATTTCTATATTCCGTCTGTAGTATCGTTTGCACGATACATTCTTGAACAGTATTGTATTCCTTCTTTATTATTTGGAGAGGTTCTATTGGCAACTCAGCCGCCAGAATCAGAGTGCCACACTAAAGAGTAAGTTACTTGTATGACCAAAGCTCAGGTTTGGCGAGTTTGCCAAGTTTGCCAAACAACAAGCGAGTAAGTTGTTTATCAATGAAGCCACCTGGCGAAGGAGCTGGAAGTCACTCAAACGGTGTAAGTAACTGGCCTCTTTGTGTTAAGTTAACGAATACAAGGAAACGTTAAACGAATATCAAACATGTCACGTGTAGAAGACAACATCTAGTGAAGGGTGAGAATATCAGTTATAAATATCAGCAGTGTCAACTAGACTGATTGGGTTGAGTTATTAAACACGTGCTCTGTTGTAAATAGTAGTACTCCACATTCCAGGAGACATCGGAGAGCGTTAACCTTATGAATATGTTCTCCTCCCTGCGAAGTTTTCCTTGGCCTACAACTCCGGATTTTTGTAACTTTGTGCAGAATAGACCGAGGCCTACTTCATTAAAATTCGCTCCTTTCAAACCCACCACCTTAGTCATCCTATCTTCCATATTAGTTTATTTATTACTTACTACCGCAGTGCCCAAGTTTTACACATATATTAATATCCTACCTTCCACTTTCATTTGGCCACATGTGAGTGGTCAACAACAACTAAACCTTCGACGTTAGAAAAGAAACAATCCTCTGTTGGAACTTTTGCGTTAGTTTCCACATGAAATCGCTAATGCCCATAGTGTCTGTATAGCATTTAGTCGGATAATATCAGATCAACCATCTGATTTTGCTTCTAAAACCCTATTTCAACCATCTGCTGCCTTTCCTACAAGTACCATTCTTAACATCAAACGACCTTTTGCCTGTTCACATAACCAGTGTCTGTATATCAACATGTCATTTCATTTCGACTGGTTTGAACTGCTGTCTGGTGCGTCTATCCCATGATATGTAACAGATGTCTGGGGTGGATCTAGCTGTAGACGTGATAGGAATACGTAATGACATACTGAAACAAAATGATGTCAGGTGATTGGATAATATACTACAGTTACTGTCAAGATGCTCGGTCACGAATAGACCTCAGTATACTTGACCTGAATTTCAACAATGTATCCCGTCAAAAGGTGTGGCGAACAGGGTGATGACGCTTGTCTGCTGGGAGCTGTCTGATCCGGCAGCCAGTGCTTGCTGAAATGAGTGTAAGTTTTAACGATGCGGCGGCTAGTTGTTATATATGCAAATCAGCGGATACGAGGGGTGAGGACACGATGTTTTAGCAGACATGTGTATTGTTAAGTTGACCTACAAAGAAACTGTACTGATGAGGTAAGGGAAGCAGTAGATAAATAATGTGCGGTTCAAACAATAAAGAAACGAAATAATTTGATATGAGGGAGTGCTATTTTTGACCCTGAAAAATCATGCGAATCCAGGTTTACTTATTTTACTGATAACGGCTAAGTAAACCCATTTAGTCCATCAAATTAACGAAGACCCTAACAGATCACTTGCTCAGACCGGTTGACTGTGGGCCGTCAGAACTTTGGGAAATCTTTCTCAATGTTAGAAAATTAGAGCGAATTATTCCAGGTAAACACTTATGTTGAATGTTAGATCACTGCATTCTCTCTTTTGCTTCTTTTTTCACATCTTCTGCAGGCTGTTTTATTTGAGTAAGCACAAAGTCTGTTATGAGGAATAACCTAATGTAAACTAGAATACTTTATGTTTGAGGTAAGAATATATTCCCTAGCATTCCAGTTTGAATAAGAATTACCTTTGCCGGTGTCAGACGGTACTCAATAAAGCTTCTGAGTAACACATGACACAAGCAGTTCTTGTACAAGAACTATCGTCGATATGCGTTTACGTTTTGATAAAATAGTCTCCTGAATTAAGTGAATGTATGGCGAAATTATATCTTCACCTCTAAAACGACCTAATTTGGAAACTTAAATCTAAGATTATGAAAGCTTTTTGACTGATTGAATGATCATTATTCTCACAAAGATGCCACTTAATGCTATTGTTACAGTGGAACCTTTAGTTTTAGCTAGTGATGGGCGGTCACAATTATTTTTTGTTTAACTACGCCTGAATTCAAGTATTTCAAAACGGCGCACATTACATACTGGAGATTAGTCAGTACTCGCGCTTATCTCTGACATGGCTGGTGAAATTGAAGCTCTGAAGAATGTCGCTACACGCCTTCGAATAAACTCAGTGAAGTCTACTGAGGCAGCGGGATCAGGGTAATACACCTAACCAGGGTCATTTTCTTGTAGTCACCCAACATCATGTGCCTCCTTGGCGGAAATAATGTCTGTGCTTTTCCTGAAGGAAATGCATTTCAAGCCCGACTCACCGAAAAATCCTTCAAACGACAGGTTCGTTTTGTCGAAGGTAGATATCCATTTTGCACATATGACAGTTATGTAGGGTCATGCAGCTCCAATTCTCTATGCAGCATGGTCAGAAGTTGGTTTGTTTCCTGAGTCGGAACTGCTCAATTTACGTAAGATCGACTGCGACTTGGAGGGGCACCCTACTCCTGTAAGAATGTTTTGTTTTCATAATACTCTCACAGCGTTTGCCTTTCGTCGATGTGTCAACAGGATCCTTAGGGCAAGGTATTAGTAATGCTGCTGGTATGGCATATGTCGGGAAATATATTGACAAAGCTAGCTACCGGGTGTATTGTGTAGTGGGAGATGGAGAGTCCGCCGAAGGTAGTGTCTGGGAGGCACTCGCATTTTCTTCATACTACAAACTGGACAACTTAGTTATAATTTTCGACGTTAATCGTCTCGGACAAAGTCAACCAACACAATTACAGCATGATCTTGACACTTATAAAAAACGAACAGAAGCATTTGGGTAAGAATTTTGAATTTTCATTTCTTCTGTTGATCCAAGATTTGAAATGATGCAACTACACAACACTTAGAAAGACACGCTTAATTCCGGTAATTAGAACTTCATTCGAGATTTCGTGCGGAAAATTTATTAAATGGGTGTACAACCTTTCTCCCATATGTTACGGATATTTCCATTATTGACTAGCAATAAACGATGACAACCTGTATTTCCGAATAAAAAAAGCAACTTTAAATTTCATGCCACATATATTCTGTATAAATTTGGAGGTAGCAGAACAGACGGAATATACCTATTGGGTCTGCTACTTGTACACATATCAGTGCAATCTTGAAATTTACAAAATCTCAGCCTAAATATAGTAACTAGAATAAAATCTATACTATGTGACTGCATCATCAAGTGAGTATGAGGTAAAGTTAAAAATATGCAGTTTGTCCGAAATGAATACCTGAAACGCTCATCGTTCACACAGCTGATTTCCCACATTTTGGTAATACTGATAGTTTTTTGGGCCAAATCAGAATTCGTCCTTTCTCTTCATGCTAAGTCCAGATTTTCTTATTCGTTTTCGAATTATTTCCTGATCATATATGCAGTACCAATTCTCTTGACTTAATGTATCATTTAGACTTACGGCTGAAGATCTTTCGAGCTCTAATAGAGTTGAAGATCTATGGGAAGCTCCTGTGTGTTGATTTCTAATCTTGATTTCTCGGGAAGTTCATTATACGTATATAACATCGCAGTCTAAATATTTTATCTTACTGAGTAAATTAGTCAGTGGGGCCCATAAAGCCGTATCTTTTACTTCGACAAACTCTTGTAGTGCCTTATTTTCTGAAAATATCATAACCTGGTTTGTCAATTTTTCTCCAGCTTTCAATTGGTGTTTGATGTGTATGGGACGATAACTAATTCAACCTGCGTTTTTGGAGTAATTTTCTGGTATACTCGACATTACTTTCTGATTTGTGAAAGAAATCCGGATATCTACTTAGGAAATTTGGTTGTTTTTTGATTGCGTTGTCTTCATTCCATTAGCCTGTTAAAAGATTCGTGATAACTTGTATTTTCTAAGTGACAAAGCATGAGGATTTTATATATTACCTTTTTGAAGATAGTCATATAAATGTATTTCGTCAAACTAGGAAATATAAGTTACTCAACTTTCACTGACTTACACCATCTCTGGCGTAGGCGTGACATCCGGTTATCAACCAAGGGACGTGTGTACTGCTCATCAGTTCGCTCCGTCCTTCTCTATGGCTCTGAAACATGGCCAATACGCGTTGAAGACATGAAAAGGTTGACTGCTTTCGATCATAGATGTCTGCGATCTCTGTCTCACGTTAGGTGGTTTAATAAGGTAGGTAATGTTGACGTTAGGCGTAGAGTGTTGGGCAAAGAGGGAAAATCAATCGACGAGGCTATAAAGTTACATAGACTAAGATGGCTAGGTCACGTGCTGTGCATGCCTAACCACCGCCTCCCCCGACGGGCATTACTAGCTGATATAGGTGCAGGTTGGAAAAGAGCCAGTGGTGGCCAAACAAAAACATGACCTCATCAATCCATGATATCCTTGACAATTAAACTGAGTCAGGTAGGGAGATGCAGACTCCCGGGTTGGGGCCCTCGGGACTCTAGGAATCAATGGCTGGAGACAATATGTGACATGGCTCAAAATCGTTGTCAATGGCCAGTGCAGATGTATTCAGTCTCTGTAATCTTTCATATTCCTTTCTACCGTTGCCATTCTGTTTCACTCTTATACTTGTCAAACTCTATTGATTCTCTTCACTCATCTTCTTGTCTACCTCTGTGTGCTATTGGGAACGTGGCAACTCGAACTGGTGCACTTCGGTGCCAAGTTCTATGTTGAACCCAGACAGACAGACTCAACTTTCGGATTCTGGAATCAAGGTAATTCTGAAAGTTTCAGCGATTGGTTTCATTTAAAGTGAGTGGCGTGTTCCACATTCAAATAGCATGGAGGTATCACCAAATTACCCTATCCATATTCCTCGTGTATGTATGTGGTGTTTTCTTGAGAACGAGAAGACGAAGTATGTGACATAGGTAAAGGTGTCTGTTCCATGCATTTCCGTAAGTGAAATTGTGTTCCAAGCAGAATATCAAAGCTTATTTGATTCGTGTTCAGTGGACATGTTTCGATTCGGTTTGCTTCATAGTCTGACAAAGTAAAAGTGATATGGAGAACATTAGTGATTTGAATGCTAATAAATGAGTTTTCGTCGGAGCTTATCAGTTATTTATCTTCATTCATGGTCCAATATTTCTAACTTAAAGCAACTGTATGTTGTGTGTTTTTGTAGAGGTTTTAATGTTGATCATAGTTATTTCAAGGGATTTTATGTTAGTGATTTGTGATGAAATCCGCTTGTTTTTAGCAAAAACTGAAGTTTAATAAATTTTTAGTTCTCTGCAGAATCTCGAAAGTAGATAAGACTTTGGTTTGAGCTCATATCAAGGGGTGCTCCATGTTTTGAGGTAAAGTTCTCGAAGAAATTCTATGTTTCATTTTTCTGGTGGATCTAATAATTTTTGCAGTAGGGTAAAACCATTGGTGTGAAGATTTCAGTTCTAACATTTTAGTTTCCAATATGTGAGGTAAATAGTTCTAGTTGCCATTAAAGATGACATGTTATTGAGTGTTTTTGTAATTATGTAGTATTATAAGGCAACAGCTAATATTCATGTAAGGATTTAAGAACAGTTCAGTGTACCGATTTATTTAGGTCACCTACATCAAAAATTAATCGTCAGCATGGCTCATTCTCTCTAGAAATTCATCTGTTTTGGCCTGACTTCTTATTGTAGCAGAGTAACTCTTCAGCAATCAAAATATGGCTATTAGCTTAGTATGTAGACTTTTACTGGGTCCCTAAAATAGGTTGATCGCAGTTTTCTTAATCGAGATGCGTTCCAAGCCAATATCTCACCCAGTATCAAATGCCTGTTAGTAAGCTGCAGCTGTGTAGACTATCGTATCTCTTATTTTGCTAAGATTATTATTACAGTAATGTTACCTTTCCATGCATTATCTTCATACGCTACTTTAGTCGATCCTCGTAGTTAGTAAAATCACAGGGATAGGAGAGTTATTAAATATTAATTTTTAGGAATCTCGAGTCTGTGATCACTTAATGAATGATCCACTCGTAAGTGGTTGGCAAATATACTGTAATTGTATAGAAAGTATGCCTTATGTATCTTGTTACTTGTTGAACAGTAATTTAAAGTGCCTGTTTCTCTTAAGCAAATTTTATTTTGAAGTGGAGAGCATGTATTACCCGAATATTAGTATTTATAATCTTGTAGTTCCTGAAATGTTTTACTGCATAGTCATTGCTGCAGACAAAATCTGATAGTGTTGATTTTTCAATCATTATAGGTGTCACTCGATCGTTGTGGATGGTCATGATATTCAAGAATTATTGAAGGCTTTTTCAGTAGCTCGAACTATCAAAGACAAACCAGTCGCTTTGATTTGTAAGACATTCAAAGGTCAAGGATTTCCTGGAATTGCAGATCAAGATAATTGGCATGGAAAGCCTCTTGGAGCTAAAGCCAAAGAAGTTTTGGAACATTTAAATGCTCAGTTAAAGGCCAAAGATACTAGTGGTCATCATCTTGCTCCCTTGAAACCAAAAGATGACTGTAGTGAACTAAAACTGATGGGTAGTATCAAGTTGCCTTCTGCACCACAATATAAACTTGGAGACCAGGTAAAGTACTAATATTACTGCTCACACTTTCTTAATTACCGTGATTCACTAATCATAATTGTATTGTAGTGAAATGACATTTTCTAATGTCTCACTACAATAAAATACTTTTCGCGAATGTTTTGTTTACATACTTCCTACTACTTTCATTTGTTTAATTTCAAAATCAGGTGGCCACTCGACTTGCCTATGGTAATGCTCTTGCTCGTATTGGACAAACCTGTGACAGGGTTATAGCTCTTGATGGAGATACTAAAAACTCGACTTTCAGCATTAAACTTCGCGATGTTAAACCAAACCAGTTCATTGAGTGCTTTATCGCTGAACAGAATTTAGTTGGTGTCGCTATTGGTTGTGGCGCTCGGGGAAGAACAATACCATTTGCAAGTACATTTGCAGCTTTCTTCACTCGTGCATTCGATCAAATACGTATGGGCGCTGTTTCTCAAACTAACTGTAATTTTGCGGGATCACATGTTGGAGTCAGTATCGGTAAGTTAATCGTGTATGATAGTGGGCCAGGGGAAATTTTAAGTCTCATTAATATGTTTTATTAGTTAATTACGGCTTTTTTCGTAGTAACTATACATTTGCTGTATAACTACGGCTGTATTGTCATGGGATAACAAATCTAAATAACATAGAACCTACTAGAATCACATTTCACATGGAACGTTTGAGAAAGCTGCGCTTATAAATATGGAAGTCAACTCTTGGAGAGAACAGTTCAGTTGTCGTTAGAAAACTTGAACATCATTGTAACACTACTTTCGTGTAGACAAACAATAGGAATAGAAAACTTCGGTATTCTTCCTCTGCTATCTGCATTCCGTAAAAGCGGATATCAAACCAATTTGATGGGAAGAATTTGTCAAGTCATTCCATCGCCACAAATTCATTCCAAAAATTAGAAAATAAGTTTATATTACATATGTTAAAAGTCACTGGAGAAAGACAGGATAAATTACAAACTATGGGAAATTGATATCCTTTAGAGAATAACCCATTCACTTCAGTCAAAATGGTATAGATTAAGAGATTTAAACCTGTTATTGTGTAACCCTACATCATCCATAATCATTCTCATCTTTTCCATCACTATCATATCGTGCAACGTCCCTTGTTCACTTATTCCGAAGGGTTTTTATTTGGTTCAAATGTGTATCAGCGACTGCTCCACTAATAGTAATAGACTCTCCGTTAAGGCTAAAACAGTTTTCACCGGGTCGATTTTGAATTTTGTATTTACCGAATAGGTGAAGATGGACCAAGTCAGATGGGTTTAGAAGATCTGGCTATGTTCCGTTCTATCATTGGTTCCACTGTATTCTATCCTTCGGATGCCGTATCAGCGGAACGCGCTGTTGAGTTAGCGGCCAATACCCCAGGAGTTTGTTACATACGCACTGGCCGACCAAATCAACCTGTGATTTATTCTCCCGAAGAATCCTTCTCTGTTGGCAAAGGAAAAGTGAGTACTACACAATGAGGTTGATTTAGTTTTTGAAATTTTGGGCATTTTCTGTCTTGATTTCTCTAACAGTTTTTAATTACTAGAGTTAGTGTAGTTATTAGATTTCTATTGTGTGACTTTATTTGCTGCCAATATTCTTATTGCCGTTGTATGAGAATTAAATGTGAAAGTCAGTTTTTAGAAAGCAAACACTTCGGATTTAATAATTTCTATATCCATATAGTTACTATAAAACTAATCAGTTTTAGGTGAAACAGTATGTAACTCAGTATATATAGCTAAAATAAAATTCTAAATGCTGTTGTATCTATTTCAATTTAATAGGTCGTCCGTACAGCAGGAGCTTCTGCGGATCACTTAACTGTAGTCGGTGGTGGTATTACCATAAGCGAAGCTCTAAAGGCAGCTGATATTCTTGCAACTGAAAAAATTAATATTCGTGTCATTGATCCTTTCACTATTAAGCCAATGGATAAAGATTTACTTGCAAAGGCTGTAAAAGAAACGTGCAATAAAGTACTAACAGTAGAAGATCATGCTCCTGAAGGTAACTATTATGTTTAATTTTTGTTTTATGTGTAAGTTGGTGTAATGGATTTTCAAGAAATAGAATTTAAGAATTTCCTCATCGGTAACACACTTTATGCACAACTTTGCATCTTCTAACGTAAATATTGTTAGTATGAAGAAGCAGGATGAATAGTGATCGTTCTTGTTCAAGCCCAAATATTTGATAATAAACTTGGCATGTCTAGGCTTGATGTCATCCTCGGTTAGTAATAAGTGGAGATATAATATTTCTTTCGGTTTTTGAAATGAAGGCAGCTAGGACGGCAGGAGCACGCAGCACTTACCTCACGGAGTGATTCATAATATAAAAATGTTTTGAACAACATGATACTGTTTATAATCGTTCTGTAGTTCAGAAATTGTGTTAATCAGGACATTTGTTAGTGTTTCAATGGTGTTACTGCGCACCATTTACATGCCTCAGTTAAAACAGTCAAATTTCACTCCTTTATTAGACGCGAAACTCTGTAGTCTTCAATATCACTTTAAAAGTTTATCAAATACCCTTCTGTCTTTGCTGACGAAATCTCAGCATGGATACATAAGGCTCGTGTGGTATTTGCCATCTTATATCACTTATGGCATAGACTTGATAATCCGTGTATTGTGTCCTCTGTACTGGCTGGTTTAGTTAACAAGCTGTCATATTTCTTCGGGATAACACCAAAGACTCAATTGTGCTCTACTGTTTAATAAAGCGGACGAGAACTGACTTATTTCTTTTGAAAAATTATTTCGTGATCTTTTGAAAATAATTAATTGCAGAGTTTGTTTGTAGGGGTTCGATTTGTTTCAAGTTTGATCACTGATTGGTATTAGTTAGAGAACCATTAAAAGGCAGCACAGAGTACTGGACGTATGTTTCGTCTTAGTTTGGGGACTCATCGATGGCATGCGCCTACCTGGTCTGGAACCCTACAATAAACTTGAAAATTAATCTGCTGCTCGCTAGTGACTGGCTGCATGATGAATTTGCCTACAGGTTTACTGAGAAGTCGTGACCAGTGGGTCCACCTGGTCAGAAATGAAGATAAATACCTATTACATTAGCGTGCTACCTATGAATTCCAAACTAGGACGAGACATGCCTAGTATTCCGTGATCGAACTTGAAACAATTAATTATTTCCGAAGAAAAGTTAGGCGTTAATATTAATCACACCGTCCAGCCATCTGAAGATTATCTTATCTGTTAGTGGATGGCATTCAAGTCAACTCAACTATATTAAACTCAAACAATAGGTCATAAATTATGGTTCACTAGAAAACGCGTGCGTCATCTAAGCACCAGAAAAGCTTTGTTTTTTCTATTATCCTAGTAGCTGTCGCTCAAACTGGACGTATTTAGGGGTGTAGTATATCAATACTCAAGATTGACTGGGTGCTTACTTTAATGTTTAGCTTTTGTCCCTAGCGTATTATAATCCACTTGTTGTTACACAGTTTCTTTGTATATCTAAGTCCTTTTAGAGATCTGATGAGACAAATCATGTGGTTTTACTTATCATCTACTTCTTATCTGTATTTCATTATTTCACAGGAGGTATCGGAGATGCGGTTAGTGCAGCGCTTTCACAATCTGGTGTAATACATACTGTACATCGACTAGGTATAACAGAAATACCACATTCTGGTAAACCAGACGAATTGATAGCGAAATATGGCATCGATGCAAAGGCTATTGTTCGTGCTGTCAAAACATTGCTTGGCAAATAAAGAAATATTTGTCTCATTTTCTGTTCTAGAGTGCAATGAAGGGATGGTGGTGGTGGAGAAAGGTGGTGCAATTTGACTAAATCAGTGATACTACTGTCATGATTCCAAATTATAAATAATTTTGTTTTACTTTTTTAATTATGTCTGTATGTGTGTGTGTGTGTGCAGTTAATGCACTTTTATTTTTAGAGACACTCAAAGTGTCCTTAGCTTAAAATAATATAGTTCTTTTTCATTTAATAAATACTTGTCTCTTTATTTGCCTTAATTTGTTTTACAAAGAATTAAAAGGATCGTTTACGCATGGTACATATGTGTCTTTCCCAAAGAATTATCTAATTCATTCCATTAGGGGGGCTGCACTCCTTTTAGTTCAGCATAAAGTAATTGTTGTAATGAAGTGCTGGGGATTTGTTGTCTGCCTTCACTACGATGAACCACCAGACAACTGATCACTTTGAAACATTCCTGCACACTGAAAGAGACACAGGTGTCCGATTTAACTGAAATAACTGCGACAATAAGAACTGTTCAGCGAAGAAAATTTTCTTTATCGACGAAATCATCTTCAGAGGCTGCACAGTCTTATTTATACTTAGAAAAATGTATAGTGGTCTATTATTGAGCAATAGGGGGTGACATAATTGATATAATTAATCATAAGTGGCTTTCGGAGTGAAAAGAATTCAAAGTTGTATATTACATGGTACTCAACGGAACAAAGATAGAAGTTTGATAAGGTTAAAATTGCTCTTGAGTGAGTGAGAATAAAGGTGGTATTTGAGTGTCAATTTAACAAGTGTGAAGAGGGTGTGAAAATATACAAAAGGGCGCATATGAGATTCATAATAGTGAATTAATTATTAAAGCAAAAGTAAACTAAAAGTAAAATTAAGAGCAAAAGAAAAAATCAGAAATTTTTTTTACAGGGTACGATTAGTGAAGAGGTTAAGACCAAGGTAGAATAACAGACTGGACAAACTTTTTCTGTATACAGAGTTCAGGGTTGTATTGATGAATTGCCAGCGCCTCCGCCATACACAAAAGCCGAAACCTGACGCCCTCTGTACAATTTGCTGTGAAGGATAAACTGCCGCTTTGGGCCACCTCAATGTGTGTTCATAAATTAACCTGCTCGTGTGGAGCTAGTTATATTGGCCGCACAAAGCGCACGCTTTCCAAACGCATCTCTGAACATTATCCGGCATGTTTAGCAAAAGGACAATGCAAGACAATTACTAGCTCAATTCTCGAGCATTTGGTGAACTCAGGCCACGTAGCTCCACCAGAGCTGTCATTCAACATCATCTACAAATTGAAGCCTAATTGTACAGAGGGCGTCAGGTTTCGGCTTTTGTGTATGGCGGAGGCGCTGGCAATTCATCAATACAACCCTGAACTCTGTATACAGAAAAAGTTTGTCCAGTCTGTTATTCTACCTTGGTCTTAACCTCTTCACTAATCGTACCCTGTAAAAAAAATTTCTGATTTTTTCTTTTGCTCTTAATTTTACTTTTAGTTTACTTTTGCTTTAATAATTAATTCACTATTATGAATCTCATATGCGCCCTTTTGTATATTTTCACACCCTCTTCACACTTGTTAAATTGACACTCAAATACCACCTTTATTCTCACTCACTCAAGAGCAATTTTAACCTTATCAAACTTCTATCTTTGTTCCGTTGAGTACCATGTAATATACAACTTTGAATTCTTTTCACTCCGAAAGCCACTTATGATTAATTATATCAATTATGTCACCCCCTATTGCTCAATAATAGACCACTATACATTTTTCTAAGTATAAATAAGACTGTGCAGCCTCTGAAGATGATTTCGTCGATAAAGAAATTTGTCTTCGCTGAATCTGTCTTTTATTTTCTTCATTAAGAACTGTATTCTTCGGGTTCGTTTACACACCCACGGAAATTTAAACCATAGATGAATAATCAATATCTGATTGATTGCATCGGTCATGACTTTACGGCTAACAAAGATAGTCCATTCTAACACCACCCTATTAGTAGACTTTGAGTTGGAGGATCACTGGAAGATATAATTAGATTTGTCTATGGTAGTAATCTACCTGATGCCTCAAAACATACCTAATGTTCTATTTTATCTTGTTGTGAAATGTGGTTCTCATTTGTCTATAGTACTGAACACACAACCCCTCTTGTTCAGGGTTCTGTTCTCATTCCGCCCGTCTCTGCTTGACCGCTTGGATAGTATTAGTGACCTCAGCACTCACACAATAAGCGTAGCTTTTAGCCTAGTGCATGAAAGAACTGATCAGAATAATTGAGTCCTTTCGTATCTGACTAATAGTGTTATGCAAGAAACACGTGTATATATTTTTTTAATAATATTGTTACAATCGATTCTGTTAGTAAGTTAATCATCAAGGTGTTCCAAGGTGAATTATATTTTGATATATAAATCGACTAATTGTGTGTTTGTATAGAGATATACACATTTCTACTGCGTATTTCTCACATCTCAGTCGATTTTTTTTGCTAGATCAAAGTCAGTTTTAAATCGGTTTCAAAATGAACATATGCATCATTTGTTGAGCCTATTATAATAGATGTGAAACTGATATCATCAGAGTCGTCTAAGCTGTACTAGCATAAGTGTCGTATTTACGTTATACTTTAAACAGTGTTATGTTTTCCTACAGTAGCACAGTTCAATACCATTTAGTATATATTGTCAATGAAATGAAGTTGTTACTCAACAACCAGTTTCAGTTCCATCGAGTTGGTAATGCGACACACTTATCGTATGAGGACTAGTCAGGTTATTTGGCTGCCGAAACCTGTGTAGGTGGAGCAGACTGAATCCATGGTCCACTGGCTGGAAGTCGAGAGCCTAGATCAATAAGCCACTGCTTTACTATGTGACAAAATACTACATTATTAAAGTGTGAGTTGACATAAGTCAAGTTGACAGTCGTTCCTTGAATAACACGTTCCAAGCTTTGCAAAAGTTAGATATATTCACTTGAGACGGCAAAGGTAGAAATTTAGGGGAGTGCAGCGTAATAGTTGCATGTCTTAAAAGGTCATTGTTTTTGTAGTTTAAAGATCACTGTGAGATGTGCTTAGAGGGCTATCCTACTGATGCTTAAATAGAATTAAAGCTGAGGTAAATAGAGTTAATTTAGCAAACTAAATATTATCCACACAAGCCGTTAATTCACGTAGGAATACTTGTAATATTTTAAATTGTATTTCTTAATATTTAGCTTAGTGTAATTTGCTTGTTAATAAGTCGTACGATTTGTATGGTCATAGTGATCACGTGTCAAGAGGAAGCACACAACGTGACACAATGTATATTCACAAGTGTGTCAACTAGTACATAATAATGGTATAAATTTAGCGTGATTTAAAAAAAAAGATAAAATCAATGGCTAATCTCAATATTGATCGCTTATCATTAGGCAGGCGTAATTTCAGAAAGACAAAATCAACTGATAGACCATAGGCTCCTATATCAAGTATTCCTGACTAGTATGAATCTGAACACGCCTGAGAACCAGTCTCAGTGTTGCTATTTCAGTCGTTACCTGACAGATAAGCTCATAAATTCTTTTCCTAAGAACCAACAGTAACTTTCATACTGTCTTAATATGCTGACAGCACATTCCTGAATAATTCATTCCTTTTCTTTTCTGTCAATATTTCCTGGTTAGTTAAGCTACCGACAAAGAGCTCATCTGCTTTAGTAGGCGTGGTCAGCTCTTTTGAAGTTAAACAAAACATCGCCTTTCTCATTGACAGTAACAAATTTGAAAAGATAAAGCCAAATGGTTGTCATTAAACACTGCTCAAAGAAAAATCAATCTGTTTACGTTTGGCAAAATCACGCCTAGAATAAGTCAGAACAGAAGAAGACAATAAGAATATAGTGAGTGTACAGAGGAGAATGAAGACGCTTTCAGTAACACAGAATACTTAATCTAACACAGATTGTTTACGAGGTCAAATCGAACGCATTTATTCAAACGGACAATAATTCACAGTGAAAATCTACCAACAGATCAGTTCATGAATAAGTAAGGAATAGTAGATTCATTGAGATAACTAGTCGAATGGTCATACGTGGAAAACAATGTCTCAGTAACCCACCTTGACTGACTGAAGAATTTTCCCATTGTAACCTCACCACATTTTCCGACACTTTTGGAGAAATCAATTCTAAACTCAAAATAATAACACAGTATTAAAAATTTCTTCCCTAATTCTTTCAACTTTAAACCAACTATCACCTCATAAATCAATATAATCACACTAATCCACCTCATCGAGAAATCGAACATTATCATGAATATTTGCATAACATAAAAAGCATAAGACAGTGTAGAATACAAGTTGTAGCGTAATGTTTATTTGAATGATTTATTATTACTATTCGTACGAGTAAATAAGGCGCCTTCTAACCTCATTAACATTATACGACTAGCAATGTAGACTAAACGTCCATTTGATACCCAATGGAGGAATATTTGAATGAATCATAAAAACTAGTCAAAACAACAACAGGAGCATACAAACAAAACGTGATGAATCACACAGACACGCAAGACATCAACATGTATGAGAATAGTGGAGTGTGGGGAATATTCCAGAATTCCGATTTACAAAAACAACCTATTTGAAGTCTTAGGGCATATGTAGACATGTTTCAAGAGTGGGTGAGTATATGTGGGGTGATGACAATCGTATTACAGCTGATATGAAGGCTCAATGCATTTCTCAGCTGTTTTTCTTTTGTTTTTGCTATCACTTCCTTCTTCTTCTTTTTAAGAATTTGTCTGTGAGTTTTATTTTGTGAAATAATAATAATAATGAATTTTTTCTGGTCGTGAAAGAATATCTCTGCATTATGTGTGCGTTTTTTTTTTCTACAATCCGCGTATAAAAACGGTTACTTGTTGTGCTACTGTAGATCAGATTTCTCATGTACATCAGGTCCGTGAGCCTCTGTTGATTT